CAGCTTTGCAATTCAGTTTGGTTGTCATTTTTTTTATATGCAACAAAAAATAGTACATATCATGTCCTGCTGGTAATTGAACTTTGCATTTGGCTTGGTTCCGTCCAAAAGAGATAAAGGCTGTTTTGAATGAGGATAACGGCTGTTTGTACAGAATTCATAAGTGTCCAAAACTTGGATACAACTTAATTCAAGTGATTTTGGATGTTGACATCATTAAAAGAAGGACGACTTGTTTATTGGATGGCTATAGAAGAGTCGGCACAAAGCAATAGGCCCTGTTATCATAATTCAGCTAGCATGCAACGGGCTGTTTAATTTAAATCTGGATATACAGTATATAACAGAAAGAAAACATTTAATATATATTCCTCTCTTAATTATTAATATAAAATAGAGTGATTTAGAAAGTTGTACATATATGTGAACAGTTTGTGAACCTTATGTTTTCTGTCAAAGCAATTTTAAAACAGTTTGACAAAAACTTGGCTCAGTCACATACCTCCCAACACTGTGAGGTTTCAATTCGGATAAGGGTGAGTGGAACTAAAGAGGAGTATCACTGATGCCAACTGAATCACTGGTGGCACTTAAAACTGATTCTTCCGGGGGCGGAGCCAAGCAGCCAAGCACATCGGACGCACATTACATGGGCTCCGTGTGAAACCGAGCAATCTCTACCGAAAAAACACCCACAGAGACCTAAATACAGTGGCAGGCTTACCTATGGGGCGCAAAAGCAAGAAGCTTAAGCCAGATAAGCCCAAAACGAACATGCACATTGGGGAACTCCTGCGACGAGCGCATGGCGCGAGGGGACCCAAGATGGCCGCCGACTATGCAGACTTCACGGATTCCTCGGGTGAATCGCTTCTGGACGGGGAGTCACCCTCCATGCCACATCCCTATCATACCCAGGCTCTACCACAGAGTGCTGACACCCAGCCTGTGACAACGGCCACCCTAAAGGACCTACTAGCAGGCCTCCAGAAAACACTACAGGCCGACATGGCCTCTATGCGCTCTGAATTCCTGGGCCTAGTGGGCCGCATTGAGACTGTGGAAACAACGGCCACGCAACAATCCACACAGATCGCCTCTCTGGGGGAGGAAATACGGCGCCTTCAAAAGCAGCAGACAACCTTTGAACAGAGGTTTGCCCTCATGGAAGATGCACGACGCCGAAAAAACATCAAAATACGAGGGGTCCCGGACGGAATCCCGGCAGGGGAACTACCGCACATGATGCGGAGACTGCTTTGCGCCCTAATGACCCCCAAACAGGCCAAAAATGTCCACATAGATGGGACTTTTCGAATCCCAAAGCCACATCAAGCACCTGAAACCGCCACTGGAGACATAGTGGTACGACTAACCTGCAACAGAGATAAGGCAGCAATAATGGCGGCATTAAAAGGAACATCGCCTTATAGTTTTGAAAATATGTCGCTGACGTTTTACAATGACCTTTCAGGGGACACACTCAAATGGAGACACTCCCTGCGACCCTTCACAACAGCACTCAGAAAAGGTGACATTCCGTATAGATGGCGTACCCCTCGAAAACTGCAAATCACACAGGGAAACATCACTCACGAGATCCGAGATATGGATGAAGCAGCTGCCATGCTGGCAACACTGGGTCTCCCGAAGGACTCACTTACCGGGCCTAGCACAAAAGGGGCCACCAAGCCATCGCATGTCTGGGACCCAGCAAGGATCACCCCCTTTATCCCGGCGGACGGACGGGCCACAGAAGCAACCTGAGCAGATTGTTTATATTTTTAATTACTTGTTTTAATTACTTGCTTTATTAGTTAAACCTGTTCTTGTAAATACGTTTAAGTTTCCGATGACTGTATGGCCAACACACCCTAATAGCCACTGACGGGGGCCAATATGGCCCAACAACAGAGCACCCATAATTTCTCCCCCCCCGCCTCTGCACCCCAAGACAATCCCAAACCCGCTCAAGCTACACTCAGAGGCGTAAAACTTTTATGACCCAGCTAACCACCCAGTTATTACCGAAGCACCAACCCAAACAACCGCTCCGGAATTTGCGCAGTCCCCAACCTACACACTACGCTATCCCCTAACGGTGACCTCCTACATGATGTAAGGAGTGTAATGATGCCCACACAGAGGCCACGATTCAGCCGGCATGGGAGACACAGGACCAATCACTTCCATAGACCTGACAGACCACACCACTTAGAGTACGCTAGGGTCTAAGCCCTCATATTCTGCGTAACCCTGTAGAACATTTTTGATAACTAAAGTTATTCACGTTACTTCTGCCACTAAGCAGTAAAATACAAGCCCCAAGTTCCTCAGCCGAGCACAAGCTCTCTGTCCAACATATACGTTGTAACCTCAGCTGTGGATATACAATACTCAGCTATGTTTCCACTTTAATGTTTTATTCGCTTTTTAAAAAAAATTAAAATGTGCAATTCAATCCAGTCACGATACTGTACCTATTGATAAGCCTGTCCTGCTATCGTGGCACTTCAGGCCTGTTTGTACATTCTTATGCACGAAAAAATAAAGAATTTAAAAAAATAAATAAAAAAAAATAAAAAAATAAATGATTCTTCCAAGCAGAAAGAGGTGGTGCTGCCCAAAGAAAGTGTGTGTGAGCCTGGCACGAATACACTCCGGCTGACAGCCCTCTTCTGACACACATCACGGCAGACCATGTACAAGCTGTCATTTTGGAGTTGGGATACATGTACAAATGTATGAAGGTTATTTGAGCAAAAGATTATTTCACCATTTATTC